CCTTTCTTTTCAAGCAAATACAAATACACACTCTATCCAAGTCCTCTGAAGCTGAAAATTGTAAATGATTCTATCCGTCTTTTGAGCAATCTTGCCAATGAATCTGTAGATTCAGTTCATCAAAACAGTCCGATTACAACAACTGCATTTCCCTTTGAGTGACGTTCTGGCTTAGTTGACACTGAAATATAACTTTTCACACTGCCTGATTCCTCACTAATGACTAAAAAATAACGATCTAATATTGGGATTCCTGTGCTTTCTCTTGACTAACAATGGCCATGTCAAGGTGAGAGATGCGCACAGCTCTTTCATCATGTAAAATTCAGTCATCAACTGGATTCTATTATATTCCATATCGTGACCATGAGAATATTTGAGCAACTCTCAAGATGAATATCAAATGTGATCCTCAATCAGATGGCCTTAAATCTTTTGTGCTTTAAGGGCTGTGTCATTTTCATTCTTCAGCTTAATGCCTTCAATCGAGCGAATGGCACTTGGAACTAATGATCAACAGTTGCTGAAGTTCAGCAGTGGCTGTAACCTTCACAGCTCTCCTGATCTTCATTTACATTCACGTATGATCCGATATGTCCCTTCTCCTCTCTCTCTCCCTGTTGCTTTGATGACTGACAGCCCTGCTTCTCAATAAAAGAGAAGGAAGCCTATTTCAAAATTTTCTTCGAGGAGTATATCGATTGAACCCTCTCTGCCTCTTCTCCTTCAAAAGACCCTTCCGCTTTTAAAAGTCAAGGGAAGACTACAGCACCGAGCAGGAGATGTGTCGTGCCGCATTATAATGGCCTCCAAATAATGAATGATACCCTGAACAAATGCAGTTTCCTCCAAAAAACACATCGATGAGTGTGTACATTTCCCTGACGGACGGTCATTAGCTTTACTCTAGATGAAAGACAAGAACACTTCATGAGACACTGACAAAAGTTTCAACAGAAAAGAAAGGGGGATCTTGACCAAATCACACCCGTGTCACATTTCTCCTGCTTAAACCGGAAGAGAAACATTTATAAGAAATTTAATACATAAAATCGATAGGCCTATATGACAATTTAACAAATTCCCCCGATAAATGTTTTTACTATGTAAAACATCCAGATGTTTAATTTGTTTTGCAGTTTTTGTCCTCTCATTACTGTAAAATAATGACATTTATTTATATTGGTATATTTAAATCAGCATAAATGCTTTACAAATTAAATAAATATAAACTGAACCTGGGTTCTCCCAAGGTTTTTTTTTTTCTCCATTGGGTCCCCTGATGGAGTTTTAGGACACCATTAGGTCACCTGATGGAGTTTTTCGGTTCCTTGCCACTGTTGCCTTTGGCCTGCTCAGTTGGGGATATTCAAATGAATTAACCAATCATGATCAGCTCTACCAAACGTGGATGTTTTTCCACTAAGAAACAAACAATGATTTTCATTGATTTTCATTGATACTGTGAAGCTGCTTTGATGCAATCTATATTGTGAAAAGCGCTATATAAATATACTTGACTTGACTTGAATTAAATTAAATGTAAAAAATATATATATGTGCATTACCTATAAGTATTTGTTAGTAAGTTTGATTTTTAATGCTTTTGAATGGTGTCTCTTCTGCTCAAGGGCTCGTTCACACAGAACGAGATGCGGGCTGCGGAATGGGGAAAAACGCAAGGTCTCGAGACGTGTCTTTTTAAAGTTTAACTGATTTTAAATTGAGCGCCACGTTTTTAGAACGCCATGTCATGTTTGAGACACTGCAAAAGACACTGTCTAGCGTGTTTACACAGAAAAACAATGGAGAAGTAACACATTTAGGCAGCATTTATTTGATCAAAAATACAGTAAAAGAGTAATACTGTAACAAATTTACAATTTAAAATGATTAAAATTTCTATTTTAATACAAAATGTAATTTATTCCTGGGATCAAAGCTGAATTTTCCTCATCATTACTCCAGTCTTCAGAGTCACATGATCCTTCAGAAATCATTCTAATATTCTGTTTTGCTACTCAAAAAACATTTATTATTAATGTTGAAAACGGTTAAGCTGCTTCATATTTTTTCTGGAAACTGAAATTTTTATTCCTTGATGATTAGAATGTTTAAAATAATTTCTTTGAAAAATAAGTATATTTATTTTTTAACATTATAAATGGCGTTACTGCTACTTTTGATCAAGTCAATGCATCCTTGCTGAAAAAAGAATTACATTTTATTTTTCTTACTGACCCCAAACTTTTTTTTTGGATAAAATATGAACTGGTCATGTTCTTGTCAGGAGAAAAAAATAAGAAAAAGAAATGGCACGTAGACACATTAAGTATTTATGCATTGAACGGTTTCTGACTGGCCTCGCCTCAAACGTTTTTAAATATGTATGCAATGACACTCCTACTTACCTGTTAAAAACACTTAAAGTACACTGAAAAAAAATATATATTTTCCTGCAGGTTCAAATTGCTTAGTTAAAATGAGCTTAAGCAACAAAATTGCTGTACATTTTGTCCTAACTTAATTTGATTGCGTTCAATCTGCTTAAAAATATGTTGCAATTTTAAGATTTGTGTTGCATTTACTGAAACTGAGCGGTGCTTGTCAGTTCTCAAGATGCTTGGCATATGGCTGAATTAAGAGAGGATAAATGTTGAAAATAAGTGTTATTTTATTGAGAATTTTATTGTGTTTTTGAGAAAATGAGAAGACTTGATATAGTGTGTAATTATTTTTAATGTTTTAAACTTACATACTGATTCTCGTTTATAAAGCAGTCTGTTGAGAAATGATTCGCGCAAACAAGAAAGTATTGACGTTGATCGTGGGGAATATTCCCTTCGTAAACAAAACTCAGCCACTGCGTCTTCAGCGGTTCAAATTTAGGAACATCAGAATGATTTCTGTTTTTGTTATTGCTCCCAAGAACAGAACAACATAATCGCTTAGACGCAGTGGTGTAGTCTAGTTTTTTGTAGTGAGTATACTGTGATATACCAGCAGCCCCCCCCGCCGCCACCACCACCACCACCCATTTGCGAAAAATTTTCAAAACTTGTGTGATATTCCTTTAAAGTTCTGTCTTAATAGATTTGATTATTATTATTTTATAAATTACATTTTACTATGCAATTTCTTTCATTATTCCATCGAGTTACTTTATTTATCTCTATAAACTGTTGTAAATTAAAGACATTTGAGCTTCTGTGTGTTTTAATAAACTATTATTAATATTATTAGGCCTACTTGAAGTACTCTGCTGTGCAATAGTAATATATTTCTTTTAAACTTTGACAGGTTACATGAAGCAGGGGCGTCACTAGGTTTAGTTTAGGATCTAATACTTACTATTAACCGGTTTCATTACATGCAAAAGGCAGGGTTTTATAATCACTGTTGTCCCAAATGTGAGGTAGGTTAGTTAGGGGAGTTCAGGGTTTCCCTGAGAAAAATTTTATTTCTCTGATCTACATATGTGCATTTTAGGATGTTTTGAAGGCCAAAAAAATAGATAACAGCTTTAAAACCATGTCAGTGGGCACTGGGCAGCTGATTATTTCTCTCTCCTCATCAGCATCACCCTCTTTTTCTCTTTGTTTTTATCTTGCCCTGTCTCTTCCCCTCCTAAAGATGAGCTATGACTGATATAGGCTTTTCATTTTTGTCTGTCAGTGAAGAAAGTAAACATGGGGTCAACTGATGAGTGGATTTTCCCTATGAATATTTTTTCTCGGACACGTTTATTCACTGAAAGCTACTAAAGCTAGGTAATTAAGTTTATTAAATACATTCAAAACATATAGGCTACACATTCATTATTGATCTTATGACTAATACAGGGCCGTAGACAGGGCTTTATAATCAAAGAGGTCCTAAATTTGAGGTTGGTGCTTCAATTTTTTTGATTTCTCTGATGTGCATTTCAAGACGTTTGAAGAAAAAAAGAATAAGAAATAGCTTTAAAACCATGTCAGTGGGCAGTAAATTCTCTCCCCCTCCAAAGGCTGAGCTTTTTTAATGTAATAAAGGCTACAATTTTTATTATATTATCAATATGTACACATTCGTTATTACTCTTGTGGCTAAAATGATGAAAACGGCTTTGTTATTGTTTCTTGTCCCCTCGCAATGACAGTAAACTATTAAATTGCATGAGTCACGTTACAGGCCTAGTATTTATTTCACTTCAAAATGGCGAAATTACACAAAACTATAGTTTGCCTGATTATTTTTTGTCATTAACATTCATGACCTAAAAAATGTAAAATATGAAATGTTAAGTTTAGCCACTTACATCTTTTCTCGCACTTGCCTGTAAACTGAAGCGTCGAGTCACTCTGCTGAAATTCGCGCTCAGCAGCGTCTTTGAAATAAAGCCCGCCTACTTTGATTTGATTTTTCATCTCAAATATTCTGACATTGACGAGCAGTGACAGACCAATGAGGCTCAGATGAACACGAACACACTACACACACCCTGTCCTCTGTTTTTGACGTGCTCTCTGCTCGCGCGCTGAATCTAATAAGATTAGGGAACACGAAATTCTGTCGCCTTACGTTTAGGGGGGCTGATGTTGTAGGAAATTTATTTCACAAAACGATGTTGTTACGAATCCTCACGCTTTTTAAAGTGGGCTGTGGGCACACGGAGATCTTTGACATTTCCTAGTGGGCATACGCAAATCCTTGACATTTTCTAGTGGGTATACGGCGTATACCTGCGTATCACGTAGACTACACCACTGGGGGTAGGGTACGCAACGAGACAACACGGCCCAAACAAAAAGGCCATGTGCTTGCACACAAAACATGGGTCTGTCATGATCCTGCCTCAAGACGTTACTGTGGTGATTTTTCTTAAGTATTTAAGTATTTAAAATACTCTAAACACACTCCCTCAAAATATTTTGTTACAAGCTATATTTTATTTTTTCAACACCTGGAAAATACAAAATACACTAAAGTAATTATACGTATTTAAAATACATTTAATTGAAATACTGCCCATGTTTGTCAAAAAAAAAAAACCCAGACGATCTTTCCTCTTAAAAAAAAAACATCATCTTGTTACAGATCCTGACCATCAGTCTCGACCGTAGCTTTTGGACACAGGCCATCACACTTCTTACATTTCCGAACTCCACCCTCATCCACCTCATAGGTGTCAGGGCTGCAGGTTCTCACACATGCCCCATGGTCTGTCACGGCATAGTTATCTGAGAAAAACATCAAAATCATCAGAGTCATTATCCACAACCAACCAGCAACACAATCCTAATGCATCAAATCATTCTGTCACAGATATCCTGCTTTCTGAGATGTTATTCAGAAACCAGAGTTCGAGTTGCAGGCTCACAATCTGCACCTGAGTGATTCTCTTTACCTGGACAGTGCTGTTTATATTTTAACCCTGAACACCTAAAACATTAATCTCCAGAATGCAGACCTAACAGCTTTGAATTCACATGAAAGATATAATTCGAATTTGGTCGTGTGTTCAAGTGAAAAAAAGTGAGGATTCGTGTCCCATTCTGACTATAGCCTGGTCTTACGTGGACATGTCTTGACACACGTTGCCCCAAAGCTGTACTTCCCGTCGGGGTTGGGAGCGAGCTGGTGGGTGTTGGGGTCGTAGAGCATGAGCTGTGGACATGCGTCCTTACATGTCCCTTCATCCTGGAAGTCCTTACAGGCCTGCAGAACACAAACAGCATTTCCCATGAGCGCACTAGTCCCAAATCAACTTCATTGCCCTTGAGATTACATTTACTGCAGCTGTGCACTTCATTGGTAATGAAGGTTTCACTGTAACACATGTTTCCAGCCACTAAATAACTTGTTTCTTGCATTTTAGGAAATGACTTCACACTAAAATGACTTCCTTTTACACTGAGAAGGTAACACACACACATCTACATATGAAATCACTCATATATACATATATACACAAATAAAGCATTCATCCACGTTTTATTTTGTATGTATGCGCGAGTGTCTTATGGATGTGTATGCGCACATCGGGTTTATATGTACGTGCGAGTGTTTATGGAAGTTTATATGTATATGCAAGTGTTTAAAGGTGTATGTGCATGGAAGTTTAGTATTTATAGGTGTATGTGTGCGACAAGTTTATATGTATATGCAAGTTATTCACAAGTTTATATGCATTCATTACTAACATAAAATGTATGTATGGATTTCATATTAGTGTTCACGTGTATTTCATATATGCATTTTGAACATCCAATAGTATACATGTTTATGCGAGTAATTTATAGGTGTATATGCACGTGTGTTATGTATGTATTGATAAGCGAAGTTTGATTTAAATCCTACGTGGCGCCTCATAGAATGGTTGGGAAATGAATCTAACACATCAGCATACGTGTGTTTCTCACCAGGCAGTCGGTTGGTTCGGGTCCAGTGCAGCCAGCAGCACAATGTTCATTGCAGCAGTCCTCAGGTTCAAGTCCCTTACACCTGCCCGAGCACTGCTCCGCACAGATCACCTTAGTCACTGGATTCAGAGAGAGAAGGAACTTTAGAGATGCTAACAGACCTGTCAGTGTTTGCTACATCGCTACAGCTGAGCACAGCAACAAAAATTAAATATTCGTCTAAAGAGTTCTCAAAACAGTCCTTCGGGGGTCAAGTAGTGTTCTTCGGCAGTGGTCAAATATAAGTCAAGGAGCAACTAAACAATCTAAAGAGGAGCATTAAACAACAACAACAACAACAACAACAAAAACTACTCAAAAAGCAGAAATGCCTTAGAGAAATCCAAAAACTGGCCATTTACTGCATTTTGAAGAGGTATTGTGCATTTCTAACCAGTATGGCATGAAACAAGATAACCAAGGTTTAAGATGACAAAGTGTTACATATCATGTATGATTAACAATTTCAAGTCTAAGAACCACATAGAGTTTCTATTTGACTAAATAACTTCTAAAAGCTTCCTGTTTTGAATGTGTTGTATTTTTTTTTAAATGCTTCTATATAGTACACTACCATGCCAAATTTTGGGTGAATGTGTGTGTTATATATACACATACACTGTTTATATATATACAGTATATATATATATATATATATATATATATATATATATATTCCTTCTCAATATTCCAATTTGCATATTGTGATAAAGTTCATTATTTTCCATAATGATAAAAATTTTACTTTCATATATTTTAGATTCATAGCACACCAACTGAAATATTTCAGGTCTTTTATTGTTTTAATACGGAGAATTTTGGCATACAGCTCATGAAAACCCAAAATCCTCATGAAATCTCAAAAAATTACCATATCCTGAAAAGGTTCTCTAAACGAGCTATTAACCTAATCAACTGAATCAACTAATTAACTCTAAACACCTGCAAAAGTTTCCTGAGGCTTTTAAAAACTCCCAGCCTGTTTCATCACTCAAAACCGCAATAATGGGTACGATTGCCGACCTGACTGCTGTCCAGAAGGCCGTCATTGACACCCTCAAGCAAGAGGGTAATACACAAAGACATTTCTGAACAAATAGGCTGTTCCCAGAGTGCTGTATAAAAGCACCTGAGTGGGAAGTCTGTGGGAAGGAAAAAGTGTGGCAAAAAACGCTGCACAATGAGAGGAGGTGACCGGACCCTGAGGAAGATTGTGGAGAAGGACCGATTCCAGACCTTGGGGGACCTGCGGAAGCAGTGGACTGAGTCTGGAGTAGAAACATCCAAAGCCACCGTGCACAGGCATGTGCAGGAAATGGGCTATAGGTGCCATATTCCCTAGGTCAAGCCACTTTTGAACCAGAAACAGCGGCAGAAGCGCCTGACCTGGGCTACAGAGAAGCAGCACTGGGCTGTTGCTCAGTGGTTGCATGTCATTCGGAAATCAAGGTGCCAGAGTCTGGGGGAAGACTGGGGAGAAGGAAATGCCAAAATGCCTGAAGTCCAGTGTCAAGTACCCACAGTCAGTGATGGTCTGGGGTAGCATGTCAGCTGCTGGTGTTGGTCCACTGTGTTTTATCAAGGGCAGGGTCACTTCATGCTTCCATCTGCTGAAAGCTTCAAAGCTTTATGGAGATGAAGATTTCATTTTTCAGCACAACCTGGCACCTGCTCACAGTGCCAAAACCACTGGTAAATGGTTTACTGACTGTTGGAAATCCCAATTAGTCATTGTATTGGGAGACACGCCCACTTCTTTGAGCTTCCTTCACCTGAGGATAATTACCTTACCAATCACCCTCACTAGTGTGTTTCTCTTTGTGCTGACTGTTTGCTCCTCTGCTTGCTGCATGTGTTTGCTGCGTCTATGACTTTGTAAGTTCATTTAAACTTTCTGTATTGATATTAATTTTATAACTGTTGATTTGTTTAATGATTTTCTTTATGGTGATGTGAATATATATTTATGTAATTTGTATCAGTAAAGTTAAGTTTGTTTGATTGTAGACACCAGCAATATGCAGCAATTGTAAAGTCATATGAAAGAAATGGGAGAACCAAGAAAGAAAGCAAATGGCAATAAATTAACTGAGAAGTAACTTCTGGACTCATTCCTGTGTTCTAATCGACACACCATTCTGGTAGCACTCATCCTTAACCAGCTAAACACCGAATAATTTACATGGTCCTTCGAGCCGGAGAGGCTGCTGGAATGGAGTCAGAAGATAACCCAGGGAAACTGAAGTGTTCAACTAGGCGTGTGAGGCCTCCGGTGTGGCATCAGGATTATGAAATGGTACATCCCCACTCTTCTGCTACAAATGTTCGAGGTCAGTTACAAGGAGGAGTGAATCCAGAAGCCCTGCTACCATCTGAAAACACTGATGTGAAGTCTCTGACCGAGGAGGTCAAACAGATGAAAAGCATGTTGATGAATTTGGGAGAAATGATGAAGAATATGCAGGACCAAAGTGAATGTTCTTCCTTTACTTCTGATTCACAAAGCTTGCGTGCTGCATCTCCTGAGAGACGGACAGAACAGAGAGATCCATCAGTGGACTTTAGGGCATCCTTTGTGCAGGAGCTAGGAGAATGTCTGCTTCAACATAAGGGAGAGAGACAAAGCCTGCCTCCTCTCTCACCATCAAGGTTGAGTGGACCAAGCACTCTTCCACCTCCACCGGCCTCTATGCTTCCTACACCCTCTGCCCGATCTAGTAGAGAACCAATGGACAGGCAGCCAGGCCTAAACGTTCATGCACTACCTGAGCCATCAGTTCCCTGTCAGAGAAACTTAACTCCACAACACCCTATGAATGCGAATCCGATTCCACATTACCTGAATCGGCCACGAGGTGTCAATCAAGACTTATCTCAAATCTACGATTTTGGTCATCAAGGATGTTATCCCAGTGACCCTCAGTTAGCAAGGAGTGATGTCCACCAATATCGTCAAATGCCAGGAAACGCTTTCTACTTTCCAGGCCCTTTATGCCCTCCATGGATGCTGACGCCTTATGTTCCAAACGGTGGAGTATTTAGGCCTCCGTATTTCCCTTATCCTTTTCCCGATCTGCCATATGCCTTACCTATCCATTCAGAGTATGTGGATCCACTAGCTGCCGCACGACAATCTCCTCAGGCTCCCCACGGGCCTCTACCAGCTCCATCTATTAGAGTGACGGCTTCTACTACTAATCCCCGAGTCATGCCTGCTTGTGGTTCTCGCTATTTGTCTCAGGGCCCAGCACTAGTCGATCCTGGTAGGCACCTAGAAGAGTATCCAGCTAATGACCCTAGACATGTTCAGTGCCATTCTGTTGCTGATATGATTCCCATAGTCTCAGCGTCCCAGTCTCATGAAGCACCTGCGGATTGTGTGCATTCTGCCCAAAGGGTTCATTCTACGACAACTGGTCACTCCGGTCTTTCAGCCCAGTCAGCAGTTCCTGTATCCTATATATCAGTGCCCCCTGTTCAGCTCGGAAGGTCAGCATATGAGAGGCCTTCATTTCCGTTTTTTAGAAGAGAAGACCCTCATGAGTTTGCAATGCTACATATGGCTCTGGAGAACTTATTGCCACTTGAGGAAAATGAGCAGTATAAATATCATATTCTTCTTGATCACTTGAAATTGGATTCAGCCCGTCATCTTGCCCTCGCTTATGCTCATCATCCACAGCCTTACACTACTTCTTTACAAGCTCTTCGGAAGAGGTACGGCCAACCCCAACATCTGGTGTTAAGAGAAATTACTTCTGTCCAGAGCCTTCCAAATGTTCGTTCTGGAGATTCTCGAGGATTCAGTCAGTTTGCCGTACGTATTAGAGCTTTGGTAGGCATGCTTCAGTCCTGGGGTCATGGCGAAGGTGCAAGGGAGCTGGCCTGTGCGTCTCATGTCCATCAGCTGCTTAGTAAGCTCCCCCCTGACCAGGTTGCTAGTTTTGCCAGACAAACCCGACTATTAAGACCAGATGTGCCGTATAATCTGATAGACTTTGCCAACTGGTTAGAGGAAGAAGCAGAATGTCAAAGTTTGGCTGTTCAAGTGAGTGAGCCATCACGGAGGGTTACAGGGCCACTGGCCAGAGATCATTCCACCGCCACTTTCTTTCAGGGTGTAAGTCAGGAAGAGAGTGCTAGAGATCACATCCAGAATCAAAGCACTAATCCTCGTGTGAAATTCTCTAGTGAATCTGCATTCCCATCCTGTGCTTTCTGTGACAGTCAAGCTCACCATCTTAGTCGGTGTCCTGGATTTCGAGAATTTGATGCAGCCGCCAAGGAAAAGTGGATTACGGACAATGGCCGCTGCTGGAGGTGTGGACGTTCCCATCGTTCATCTAACTGCAACTTAAAGAAAGGGTGCCCCCAATGCAAAGGTCGGCATTTAGGAATCCTGCATGAAGTGAATACTCGTAAAAGTGAGCAACAAATTCTCTATCTGAGGAGGCCCAGTGGATTCAATTCTGTACTCCTTAAAGTGGTAAGAGTTGTCTTGACTCATAACGGGAAATCTCTGGAGACCTATGCCATTCTGGATGACGGTTCAGAAAGAACCATGCTTCTGTCATCTGCTGCGGAGGGTTTGGGCCTCAATGGGGAGGCGGAGACCTTAATCTTGCGCACAATCAGACAAGGCACAGAGAAAATTGTGGGTGCTACAGTGTCATTTTCAATTTCATCAGCTTCCCAACATCAGAAGAAATATGAAATCAAAGATGCTTTCACTGCTAAGCAACTAGATCTACCTGAGCAGACTTACCCGATCACCACTCTGCAGAGACGTTATCAGCACCTCCAAGGCTTGCCGTTGCAGGAGTTCCATAAGATCAGACCATTGCTGTTGGTGGGTGCAGACCATTCTCATCTCTTGTGCTCTACGGAATGTGTGAGATTTGGCCCCCCTGGAAGTCCAGTTGCCCTGCACACTTGCTTAGGATGGACGTTGCATGGTCCGACCTCTCTGGTGCAAGAATCCAGTTCTGATACCCGGTGTCTTCTTACTTCGCTTGACAAAGACCAGTTACAGAGGGATGTGGAACGATTGTGGCAGATCGACATATTTCCATATTCTAAGAATTCTAAAGCTGTTATTAGGTCCAAGCAGGATCAGCAAGCCTTTGAGTGCCTGGAGCAACAAACCGAGCGTCATGAGATTAATGGAATAGAGAGATATGCCACTCCTTTGCTCAGAGTCAAAAATTCCCCCTTATTGCATGAGCCTCCTGCCAAGCCTGCAGTCGAACACGCAAAGCCTGCAGTGAGGCCTTCCGACGAACTACCAAAGCCTTCCGACGAACTGCCCGAGCCGCCAGCAGTCAAACCCGCAAAACGTCCTGTCAAGCCTGCAGTGAGGCCTTCTGACGAACTGTCCGAGCCCTCCGAACTGTCCGAGCCCTTTGACAAACTACCCGAGCCGCCTGCAGCCGAACCCGCAAAGACTCCTGCCAAGCCTCCTGTGAAGCCTGCAGCTGAACCCGCAAAGCCTCCTGTCAAGCCTTCAGTGAAGCCTGCAGCCGAACCTCTGAAGCCTGCAGTGAGGCCTTCCGACGAACTGTCCGAGCCTTTTGACGAACTACCGGAGCCATCAAAACCCCTTGGCTACGTGTCATTGAACATCTCGGACACGGATTTGATAACGCCAAATATTCTTCTGATGGGGCGGCGAGACGCGTCCCTTCCACAAGTAATGTATGTTGACTCTGAGCTCTTGACCCATAGGAAGTGGAGACACAGTCAAATCCTTGCTGACAGGTTCTGGGTTAGCTTTATCAAGGATTATCTCCCAAGCCTTCAGTCCCGTCAGTAGTGGAAAGCAGATGGTCCCTCTATCTCAACTTCTGTTGTGGTCATCTTGATGGATCCTCAGCTCCCTTGTAGTTCCTGCCCTATAGGGACAGTCTCTATTGTCCTGCCTAGTTCTGATGGCTACATTCGAGTGGCTGGGATCGTCATAAATGTTAAATAATTTATCCGTCCAGTTAGCCGATTAATCGTTCTTCCGGCCTTTCCCATTGATCCTACTGTATGAGTGGGATTTCTTAGGACAAATATGTTGTCATATTTGGGGGCGGCTGTTGGAAATCCCAATTAGTCATTGTATTGGGAGACACGCCCACTTCTTTGAGCTTCCTTCACCTGAGGATAATTACCTTACCAATCACCCTCACTAGTGTGTTTCTCTTTGTGCTGACTGTTTGCTCCTCTGCTTGCTGCATGTGTTTGCTGCGTCTATGACTTTGTAAGTTCATTTAAACTTTCTGTATTGATATTAATTTTATAACTGTTGATTTGTTTAATGATTTTCTTTATGGTGATGTGAATATATATTTATGTAATTTGTATCAGTAAAGTTAAGTTTGTTTGATTGTAGACACCAGCAATATGCAGCAATTGTAAAGTCATATGAAAGAAATGGGAGAACCAAGAAAGAAAGCAAATGGCAATAAATTAACTGAGAAGTAACTTCTGGACTCATTCCTGTGTTCTAATCGACACACCATTCTGGTAGCACTCATCCTTAACCAGCTAAACACCGAATAATTTACACTGACCATGGTATTACTGTCATTGGCCTGCCAACTCTTCTGACCTGAACCCCATAGAGAATCTGTGGGATGTTGTGAAGAAAAAGTTGAGAGACGCAAGACCCAACACTCTGGATGAGCTTAAGGCCGCTATCGAAGCATCCTGGGCCTTCATAACACCTCAGCAGTGCCACAGGCTGATTGCCTCCATGCCATGCAGCATTGAAGCAGTCATTTCTCCAAAAGGATTCCCGACCAAGTATTGAGTGCATAACTGAACATAATTATTTGAAGGTTGACTTTTTTTGTATTAAAAACACTACTTTTATTGGTTGGATGAAATATGCTAATTGTTTTGAGACAGGAATTGTGGGTTTTCATGAGCTGTATGCCAAAATCATCAGTATTAAAACAATAAAAGAGCTGAAATATTTCAGTTGGTGTGCAATGAATCTAAAATATATGAACATTTAATTTTTATCATTACATTATGGAAAATAATGAACATATATCACAATATGATAATTTGAGAAGGACCTGTGTGTGTGTGTGTGTGTGTGTGTGTGTATATATATATATATATATATATATATATATATATGCATATATGTGTGTGTGTGTGTGTGTGTGTGTGTGTGTGTGTTTATTCTCCAGTTACTTCTCCAATCTTGTTTACATAAATGTTGACGCTAAGCATTTGTGGATTTATCACTAAAGTCTGTTCCCTGTTGTTCTAATCTCCTTTGTCGTATGTGTTGTAGACTTGGAATTAAAGCCTCTTGTGTTTCCCCGTTATTATTCAATTTATGGGACCGGACACCAGTTATCTTGCCAAGAAAGTTTTATTATATATTATATATATGTCAGGAGAGAAACTTCAAAATGTGGTGTTCATGCCAGGTCTATGCGTTTCTCCATGTTTCTCTACCCTCTCACCCGGTCATGCCTACATGTTTCTCTGAGGGCGATACAATGACATTGAGCTTTTATACATCACACAGTCTTACAGCTTCCTTGTAAGGTAACAAACATGTTGCTCTGAGCTTCTCAACTTAGAACGTATATGTCATATGTACCGTACGCGACTATCCTTGATGTCTACATCTGTGATACACTGGCATCAGTGGAAACATTCATGCTGAGTGAACAAGTTACATTGCACATATACCTCTCTAAGCAATAGCTTTCCCCTGACATACTGTATGTTATCCTCTCATGCTTTTGAAACTCCATAAGATAATACATTGATTATGAAAACTAATAAAGAATAATAATACAGATACGTAATATTTAATAATGAAATAACAGTAAAAGATGAAATTTTAGTCTTCAGTGTTCCTTGCAATAACCCAGGGTGACCAATCACAACAGGCTGGGCCATTTGATCAATCAGAGCAGAGTAGGCTATCAGAAAGGCATGTTTAGAGAGATCTTCGAATTCTGATTTTCTAATAGACTTTTGAATAGTAGTGTGAAGTGTCTTTGTTTCCAGTCGCTGGCTTTTAAAAGGTTTCTGTGTTGTTGTTGTTGTTTTTAAACACTTCTACATAGTATGTTTTCACTAATTTAGTAAAAAGCCTGAAAGTAGAAAATCTTTCAGATTCACTCATTAGAGTAGTTTAGGACCACTTACTTGTTTGACAGTTTTGAGGGCCAGGGCCCCAACAGGAACCATTGTGACAGTCTGGGTCACACTTCTCACCTGCGGGAGGTAAAGTAGAACATTCTTAATCAACGTGCAAAATTAATTAACAACATTTAATATGCATGTTTATATTTTAAAAATAATAAGAATCTTGAGGGACTTACAGTGTCTTGGAAAGTATGGTTTGGTGTGCACTATAATTGTAGGATTGCTCTTCATGTTCAGAATATCAGTCCACTGGATGGTCTCCACATGACATAAATGACTGTTACTAGTAAATTTTATTCCACCCTTCAGTATTTCTAGGAGGGAAAATGACAGTGTTTGAACAATGCATTAATGTACTGTATGACAAACTTCACTAATAAGAGTGACAGTGGAAATTTAGGTCTATTATTGTTTTCCAAATAAAACTTTCAGCACTAGGCATGGAGATTAATGAATGTTATTCCCTGTACAAAACAAATGTACGAAAGACATACAGGTCAGTTAGAAGCATGTGTTATTCTCATTTGGAAGACAAAAAAAAAATAGGACAAAGATCACTTTTATATAAGCACATACCAGTTAAGCTAGTCAGCGGTAACTGATTCAGTCCTATTCTGTTGTTGGAGTTTAGTAGGACGGTCAAGGCATATTTGTCGTCAAAAAGGGAGTGGCCACGAATGATGCGCAGATTCTCAAGGGGGATGCTGGGAGCCGAGTTGAGGCCAATAAGAACATACCCACCAACTTCTTGGATGCTCTAAAAATTAGAAACAATAAAACATTGGTATATATGTAGATGACTTACAATAACCAAACAGTAAGATAACAGTACAGTAGCACTGAACATAGTGTTTGTAAACAGATATATATCATACCCTGAGAAAAGACAAGTCATGGTTTTCTGTCATATATGTGATTTCCAGGTTTTCCAGAACCACGGTGCAGTTGCTGTACATTTTTACCAGGATCTGATAATGGTCATCCACTGTTCCCAGGAGGGTCAGTTTGATGTTTGTTCCCTTACACACTTAAACACACAGAAAGAAAGAAAGAAAAATTAAATCCACTGAGGCCTTCATGGAAAAAAGCAATAAAACTCACATTCCAATAGAAGCAAAAATGTTTTTGGTTTCTTTTTGTAATTTATTTATCCATTACACTTCCCAACCAAATTATTTTTAAATATATTTTCAAACACATTGGAATCAGTTGTATTCATTCAATAATGCACATGGGGTCAGTAAGATATTTTAAATTTAATTAAAATAATTTTATTCGGCAAAGATGCATTAAATTGATCAAAAGTGACTTTTATTTGGCTGTTACAAAATATTTCTAGTTAAAAAATCTATCACAGTTCCTTCAAATATATTAAAGTTTTTAATGTTGTTATGTCTATGTGACGTATGTGCAAATCCCTAAGTTAACACCATTACTGAGTATTTTCTCCTAAAAACTGCAAAGACAGCCTCAAAAACAAGGTTTGAAATCTCCAGTGTTTCTTTCTTATGCAAACTGCCTTATAATATTAATATTAATAATAACTTTATTTTTATATAGTGCCTTTAAAGCAGCTTCTCAAGGCACATAACATAATAGAACAAGTAAATAAATATCCAACTCAAGGAATTTTAAAATAAAAAACTACAAACTAGAATATAAAATTTAGGACAAGCAAGGAAAAGCCAACCTATTTTATATATATATATATATATATATATATATATATATATATATATATATATATATATTTTTTATATATAAGATTTAAAAATATTTTGATTTGTGCATCTCTAATATAAGGAGGGAGTGCCTTCCAAAGCCTAGGAGCATTTATAGGATGAAAAAGACCCTACAGATCTCCCCTACAGAACGCAACCGTGTCTGCCAATAGATCAGCTTGTGGGGAGTGTAGATGACGTACGGGAGTGTAAAGTTAAAATTGCAAACAGACACTCAGGCCATGCAGTGGAACCTGACCGGGAGCCAGTCCAGAGACATTATAATTGGTTTAATGTGCTCATTTCTCCCGACTAATCAGGGTCCTTGCAGCTGAATTTTACACATATTGCAGTTTGTTAAGCCTGTTTTTAGGAATCCCAACAAGAAGTGCATTGCAATAGTCAAAAAACAAAGGTATTAATAAGCTTTTCAGTCACAGAGAGGGGTAACATAGAGCAGAGTCAAGCAATATTTCTGAGATGAAATAAGGAGTGCTTAATAGTGTACTGCACATGCGCACATGCAATGTATTAAAAAGGCAACATCCAAATATTGAACAGGCTTAGAGTGAATATAAATCTAACTGTCATCTGCTTAAAAGTGATAATTAAGCCCAGAGCAGTCTGAGTGGAAATATGTAAATGCTGAAGAGAAAGGGGCCTAAAATTGAACCTTGAGGAACACCCGTACAGACAGAGCCAACCTCAGACCAGAAACCACTCATGCAGACAAACTGTTGACAATCAAAGAGATAAGATCTAAACCAGATTAAAACAGTCTCAGAAACACCAAATACCTTGTAACCAATCACGGAAATGTACAGGGCGAGCTTTAGCATATCATTAACTAAGACCGTCTCAAGAGAAGCCATACTGGTATATTTGTCTGTTAATAGAACACAATATGGTACATTTAGCAAAATAGCGGGTGAATTATGTATATGATACATATTCTTGAGCACGAAATTGGCATATTAAAATTATTTCCGAAGGATGATCAGCTTTGCAATCAAAGGAATTAAGTATATGTATTTTAAAAACATTAAGCTGTCTAAAACAGTTATTTTATTTGTAATAATATTTCACAATATGACTTTTTCCTGTATGTTTAACAAAATATATGCAGTCTTGGGGAGTACAAAAAGCTTTATACACAGTCCTTTAACAACAATCACAGCCTTCTTGAGCCTTCTTGTTTATTTCACATTTGTGGAATTTTAGCCCATTTTGCAATGCAAATGTGTCCCGATTACACAAATTAGATGGAGTGTGTTTGCCGGTCAAACCACAGGTTTTCACTTGAATTCAGGTCTAGGCTCTAGCCAAGCCATTTCCAAAATCTTTATTTGATACAAATAAAAGACTAAAATGATTGTAATAAATCAACTGCAAATGCTAGAGCCAGAGCCAATCCGAGGGGCATGTAGGGTGTCTTTTGCAGCTAATGAACCAATCAGAATTCAGTCAAGGTGGGCGTTCGTTTTAAGTGCTCTGAGCGGCAAAGGAAAAACTCTGCAGTGGGCCAAGATAAATAGTGCTTGTGCTCATATGAATTCTATGAGAACTTACTCTTTCTCACACTCATCTGGGAAAAAATTGATGAAAACATTCCTGGATTTTCCTCCATGTACTGTACTTTGTAAGACTAGAAAACTGGAACTGGTTGATATAATCAGTGACCAGTGTCTTCTGGAGACAAGAGGACCTTGCTTGAACACACACACACACACTCTTGCAGAGGAAGCTCACACAAGAATATGTGTTTTTAATGAATGTGATAATCTTAAAGGACTGTTTAGAATCATTTCAAAAGTCTCAGGGTGACTGGTAATAATGTCTCATTTCCAAAGAAGTTAAAGAAAAGGTAATAAGGTTTTTAAGAATATAGAAATATCTTGCACACAAAAGGGTGTGTCTTTGAGTTAATCACATTCTACCTTTTGCCTGAATGCAAACTCTCCTTCCCCCAGTAAACATGGTGGGGGTTTCAGTCCATTGTAGTTTGGTGATTGGATCAGGTAAATTTGGTGATTAGATCAGATAAGGTTTGGCTCTATTTAAGGAAAATGCACAAGAGTTCATGGCTGCTTTCTGTATTCAGATCAGCCCGTGATGTTGTGTCTTCAAGACTCAGCTCATGTAATATGTTGGGTAAAGTTCTTTGTTCTAAAACATTTGATGGTTTGCTCTGATTATCTTGTGGAATTCTAATGATATATTTACCTGACATAATAAATTGTTATATTTGGCTATTCTAACAGACTTTGACTTTATTTTCATTAGAGTTAAAAGGAATAGTCAAGCATTAACTTATTAAATGATGCACAGATATCATTGATAAACCCTTTTCATTTTATGGAGTCAGATGAAACGAGTTAATACATAAGATTAAATGTGTTGCATTTAATTAAAAAACACTTTGCTTGGAAAAGACGGAACGCGCTTGAAACCTTCACCACGAATCGAATTCCTCAATTTGGGTCGATTTCGTGGCCCTTTTTACAGTGGTGACACGCCTCCGTGATCGCAACAGATGGATTTCGCGAGCAACGTCCTTTCCAACAAATTACGGGAATCTTAAAATCAACAAGAGGTTTGAACATCTTCCTTTCTTCTGCCACTATGGTAAGTCACATTTTTCTACCCTTTTGAAAAGTGTTGAGAAAATGTTGTTTGCATTATTTTGCGGGTCGGAAATCCCTTTGTTTAGTCCGAAACTAAAACGTGAGGACATGATAACGGCCGCAGCGCGCAGATAAAAGTGTAAAACCCTTGTTTTTAAAGATATCCTTGTTTGATTAGGCAAAAAGGAAAGAAATCTAAACTTGAAATAACATCTTTCAAATGATTTTCTGAGAGCCTTAACATTACTCAAGGAGCTATAAAACAAAGCTTGCATGTTTGTCTTCATCATTGTATTGGCTTTGTTGAAACAAACCAGCAACGTGAAGAGAATCGACAAACAACAGAAATAAAAATCTAAGTTTGTAAACGATCGGAAAACACGTGATTTTATAAATGAGGCAGACAATGCATTGTTTATGATAAAGCAAACTTTATATTGCATTGGAAAGCTTCCGCTGTAAAACAGATGGGATTAAAAAGCAATAATACAATAGTTTGTATTTTCAAATTTGGAGTTGTGCCACACAATGTAACGCACTCATAGAACACACTGTATAGTTGTTTGTGCTACTATATGTGCACATAGGCTAATTCTAAGTTTATTCTTTAAACACAGGATTGCTTTACTGTAAGTGTTTTGGAACACTTAGGTAAAGGCTGTTGATGTTGTATTCAAGGCCATGTATCCTGTGTGAACTGAATTAAACGTGTGTGTCTATGCTGAATGTGGTTATAATGTGATTCACAATGCTCATTAATTCTTGAAAAGAAGGAGAAGAATTTGAGACAGAAATACTTTTCATATTTGGAAAACGAAATATTACCACGTTTGAACTCATTTTGATATGATTATTTTCCCGAGTAGAGATTGGATTCGTATATTTCCACAGTTTTTGCGTCAGTTTAGCGATGGCTAACATCCGGTATCATTTTACGTGTACTTAAACGAGGAGGTGTTTAAGGGGACTTAAATATATGTCTTTGATTGTGTACGTTTGGAACGGCAAATCCTAGATATTTAGTCAAATTACCTCTGATTTGATGACCGGACCTGGCGAGAGTGTGGCATGCGGACTTTGGAGAAGGACCGCAGAGTGATATAGTTTCCTAATCTAAAAACGGGGAAAATATAACTAAAGAATGAAAAGAATTATCAAACGTTAAAATTACTTTGCTTCATATAATCAGAATTTTTGTATCCTTGGTGGAAAACTCCCATAGCTGCGGAAAAACCACGCATAGGAACATAGATGAGAATCAGAAACTGTGAACGCGCATCTCATTAATCCTAAAACAAAAACCTTTTTTATATTCAAAGCTTCAGGGGAAGAAATTTCTCCAAATATAAATTGGAAAATGTATAAAGATTCTGTCCTGTTTACGCTATGGGACGAAAAGGTCGAGCCTACACTGCATAAACTCACTAAAAAAGGTCTTAACATGGATGCTATTGACAATGAAATTCTCACTTGGTGGGAAACAGTGGGTAGCAAGCAGAAGAAATCAAAACATGATAAAATAATTGAGGCTTTAAACTTCATAAGTTATAAACGGCTAGATAAGTCAACAACATTTCTATCCTCGCTTATGGATATTAAATGTGAAGAAATGCATTCTAAAAATGCAGAGGCAAAAATGTCTGAGGCAAAGATCCAAGATCTTCAAACACAGTTAGATCAAC